GCTACATGCAGGGTCCAAGCGTGCCATAGGCTAGAGACCATTCTCAAAGCTTCTCCTTATATACAGGAAGCAGACCACATACCCAAAGGCAGCTACTCAGCTGCTCCCAGTAGATTCCACCATGGAGTTGATTACCAGTCTCATCGTGGGGAATACTACATCCAGCTGCCCAGCCACTCAACCACACCTAGCCAAGTTGACATACAAACATAACCATCACAGTTCGTTTGTTTGAGTCAGAATCCAAAAAAAGTCTGCACATTATATTTGGTTGACTGTTTTCTTAAGAGTTTTTTCTCTATAATTGTCCCTCCTCCTTTTCTATAAAATATTTTTTATTTTAAAGTAATTTTAAACTTAATGAAAAGTTGTATAAATAGTACAAAGAGCTCTCGTATACCCTTCACCCAGTTTCCTCCAATTTATACGATAATAGTTATTAAACTAAGAAATTAACCTTAGTGTACTAAGGTTGATATACTAAATTAATGTTAGTATTATTAACTAAACTTCAGACTTTATTAGAATGTCACCATTTTCTCCATTAATACCCCTTTCTGTTTTAGGATCCAGTCCAAGATCCCACATTACATTTAGTTGTGATGTCAACTTTAATCTGTGATAGTTCATGAACCTTTCTTTGGCTTTCATGGCCTTGAGACTTAAGAGAACTGGTGAGATATTTTGTAGAATGCCTGAGTTTGGGTTTTTTTGGTTTTTTTTTTTGAAGTTTTCTCAAGGTGAGATTGAGATTTTGCATTTTTTTTTGGCAGGAATACAACAGAAACGATGTCCTCTTCTCTGTTTATCATATCAGGGCTGCATGATGGAGCTGTGTATTATTTCTGGTGTGTTGTTTTAACCACTTGATGGTGTCTGCTTGTGTTCCTAGTATAAATGTACTATTTTTCCTTTGTGTCAATTTATTATGTTTTCCTTTGTGAGATACTTTGGTACCACACAAATATTTTCTTTTCTTCTCAAACTTTCACCTTTTAATTTTACTACTGGTAATAAAACATTTTAAGGGCTAACTAGGAGTTTTCAAGGTTGTTTCCCTGTAAGTAGCTATTATTTAAAACCGTAAACCTCTAAAAATGCATTTTTGAGAGATTACCATTAGTAATATGTAAAAATAAATTAAAAACACTAGCTGAAAATTACCAAAGTATAACACGGCATCATAAATGTTCTTGATTTGTAATCTTTTTTCTTAGAGTATGTGTTGTAAACTTATTCTATTAAAAAAAAAAAAATGAAAGTGTGAAATAGTGTAAAGTGGTATGTAAATGTAAGATATTAATACTGTTTTGTAGAAGCTTCTAAAAGAATTTCTTTTGTTACAGGAAGAGAGTACTATGTATATTTAAGGTTTTTAAATCATTTTAGCGTGTTACTGTGTGCCGTTGAGTTGATTCCCATGCATAGTGACTATATGAGGAGCTCTGGTAGCGTAGTGCCTAGGGCACTTGACTGCTAACCAGAAGGCTGGCAGTTCAAACCCACCAGCCACTCCTCGGAAGGAAGGTTTGGCAGTCTACTTCCATAGTGATATTGCCTCGGAAACCCAAGGAGAAGTCAGTATGAGTCTGGTGTGACTCCACGGCACATAACAACAACAACAACAGTGACTATATGACAGAGTAAAACTGCCACTAGGATTTCCTAGAGGCAGTCTTTATGGGAGCAGATCCCAGGCATTTTCTTCAGCAGGTGGGTTTGAAACACTGACCTCTCAGTTAGCGGCAGAGTGCTTAACCATTAAACCACCAGGGCTCCTTCTGTTTTCATATGTATAAATAAGTATGATAAAACATGAAGTTTGTAAACATCTTTCTGAAAGTAAAATAAATTTAGATCGTTAAAGCTGCAGAAAACATCAGGTCTGTAATTTTCCTTTCAAATCCAGAAGCTATAAATGCTTTTGCAGTGATACAGAGGAGTTAGATAAACAGTGGGAAGGCTAGGAAAATCTGCACTTTAGCAAATTTTGCAATCCACTGGTTTTTTTGCAGTCCACTGCCCTTACCTTCTCATATCTTCTCTCCTTGCCTTTTATGTGGAGTTAAGAAAATTCTAATCTTTGTTATCACTGCTTGGAAAAAGTAGTCATAAAATTGAAATGTGTGACTTGGTGTATTTCTAGATGAGATAATTTAATTATTTCTGTTTTTTATTCAGATAATGAAACTGCTGTTTATACATTAATGCCAATGGTTATGGCTGATCAACACAGGTAGGTGCCTGTTTTATAAATTTACACTTTATGAGAAGTACAAATTTACCTAAGTGTTACACATACACATATACAGTTTGCCCATAGATTCAGTGCTTGTGTGTTGTTTTAAATCCTCAGGTTCTTTCCTAATTTTGATGTTGCCTTGGGGCAAGTTACGTAATCTCTCTGTTAAAATTTTCTGACTATGAAATAAGGAACAGGATTTTCCAAGATCCATTTCAGCTATAAAATTCTATGATAAAGCTATTTCCTAAATGAATTAGAGGTCACCACTAATTTTTATAGCAAAAGGTTTGGGTTGAAGTACAACTTTTTTCTTACGCATAACTACTTTGATGTTTTTTTCTTGATACTCTTTTACAGAGGGACATATAAGATACACTTAGCTGGCAGTGTGATGGAATATTTACATTTGGAGCAGATATGTCTCTGTTGTGGTATAAAGAGAAGAGAATGAAGAGAAACTGTATTTAGAAATAGGTTTAAAATATAAATAATTTCTGCTTTAAATTTCCTATTTGGTGTGATCTAAAATTTTTCTTTTTATATTCTTCATTTGGCCAGAATTTATATAGGTAGGCTCAGCTTTCTGTAAGGGGAATAGCCACCCCTATACCTTTTTGTTCTTTCAGAATTTTGGGAGAGCTGAGCTAAAATGTACTCTGTTAACTGTACTCAAATAGTTTCCTTTTTGGATACTGTGCTGGCTACAGTGCTACAGCTAGAGGATAGTGCCTTGTTTTCTAGTTGGTGTCAGACAGAACCTTTAGACTTGATTTATCATGTTCTTATAAACTATATTTTCACATAATTGACTTTTAAAATTTTTGGTGTAGGTCTGTTTCTGAACTACTATCAAATTCGAAGTTTGATGTCAATTATGCTTTTGGACGTGTGAAAAGAAGCTTGCTTCACATTGCAGCAAAGTAAGACTAAAGATACCGTGGGTCCAACTCTTGTCTAGAGTAAGGATTATCAAGCTTTGAATCATCATTGGCCCGCAGTAGTTGTGGGGAGAGATGAGAACAGATAGCTAAGTGGTTCTTTATATTGTTTTTGGCACAGTATGCTGTACTTGCATTCTTAAGTCTAAATTGTTAACTTTGGGATTGGACTGGTAAAAAAGAAAGTCTCACATCAAGTATTGTCTTAACTTGTTTTGGATCAGATCAAAAAGTAGGTTATGCATGGGGAGTGTCATTACTGGATGCACTTAAGAGAAAACACTCACCAAAATTTTCCGTTTATAAGATTTGCAATATAAGATTTTAAATAGGGTGCAGTGAACAAAATTGTAATGAGCAGCTCTATGATGATATGCTGATTACTTGTGAAGTCATTGGTTTTATATTTCTTATCTATATAGGAGACTGGTTTTATACATGGTCTGCCTGTGTGTAATCAGTCAACTAGCTGATACCTAGCCTCTTTTCAGGGTTTAGGTATATGTGTTGAAATTAATTGTTAATTTGGTTTCTGGAAAGAAGTACAATAAGAGTACTGTATAGTTTCTTTTATAAACTAATATTTATATTACTTTGTCTGAATTTCTTAAATATTTTATAGTTCTCACAGTATGTTCTGGTTACCTAGTGCTGCTCTGACAAGAATATACCACAAATTGGATGCTTGAACAAACAGGAGTTTATTCTCCTATAGTTTAGTAGGCTAGATGTCTGAATTCAAGGTGCCAACCTCTAGGGGCTGTGTGAAAGCCCTTTGACTTTGGGCTTCAGCTCCGCCTCTTGTTCCCGGCCCACTGAAGCTCTTCACTCCAGCAGCTACTGGTTGCTGAGGCCCAAGGTCGACAAATAAAATGGCACAGTCCCGATGTTACCAAACCACATGGCAGGCTTATTAATTCAAGTCCATTGTAAGTCCCCAAGGACAGCAGAGTATGGCAGGCTGCTGAGCAACGACATGACTACATGCAGGGTTCAAGCATGCCACAAGCTAGAGACCATTCCCAAAGCTGTTTCTTATATACGGGAACAAACCTCATACCCAAAGCAGCTACTTAGCTGCTCCAATAGATTCCACCATGGAGGTGATTACCAGTCTCACCATGGAGAATAACTACATTCAGCTGCCCAGCTATTCACCCAGGCCTAGCCAAGTTGACACACAAACTTCACCACCACACAGTAGAAACTACTGTATTGAAAGTAGAGGATAATTACTGTTTGTGACAGAAGTTAAATCAAATTCTAGGCAAATTTAAAAAAAAACAAACTTAGAGCCTTGGTGTTGATTTCAACTCATAGCAACCCCCCACTGGGTTTCCGAGGTGGTAAATATGGAAATGCATTGCCCCGTCTTTCTTCCGTGAAGTGACTGGTGGGTTTGACCCACCAGCAGTCAGATGCCTTAGGCACTGTGCCACCAGAGCTCCTTTCTAGGCAAATAGGTACTTTAAATATAGAACGCATTTGTTTTAATTAAGCATGTAAACTATGGTGATTGTTGAACGTATCTGAACTGTCTTTTATTGTTCTTTTAGTTGTGGATCAGTGGAATGCTTGGTTCTGCTATTAAAGAAAGGAGCAAATCCTAACTATCAAGATATTTCAGGCTGTACGCCCCTTCATTTGGCAGCTAGGAATGGGTAATTATTTTATTTACTTAAGTAGCTTAAGTTGTCCTATCAGTTACAGCTAACAGTATTTAAGGCACTCTGCTGTACCTTGATTTGGTGATTTATTTTCTTTAAATATTTGCCTTGGAGTAACACTACAGAAATGATGTGTGTATTTTGCTCATGTGTAATTTTTTTTCCCCATGTTACGTATATTAATGGTAAGTCTGTTCTTTCTTCTTAATATGGGTTTTGGGTCATTATACTCAATTTTTAAATAATTTTAATGTTTAATAATTTATTAAATTGTTTGGTGATATTTATGTCTTGAAAATATAATTTTGAAAGTTCATTATTACTTGTATTATGGTGACATTGTGTTTTTTTTAACCTCTTGCTTCTAATAGCCTTTTCTTGCCAGTCTTTGGTCATCCCTAACTCCGTGGCTTGTTTTCTAAATTATTTAGTTAATTTTATTGATGGAATTAAAAAAGTGAATATGGTTGCACCCATTTTATTTTGTAAGTATTTAATAATGACCTGTATCAGAGTAATTTGGTACTTTTCTGTTCCTTTTTGGCTGTTGTTGTTTGCCATCGAGTCGGACCCGACTCATAGCGACCCCTCCTTGTTGCTATGGCAGTATCACTACGGAAGTAGATTGCCCAACCTTCCTTCCGAGGAGTGGCTGGTGGGTTTGAACTGCCAGCCTTCTGGTTAGCAGTCAAGTGCCT